CTCCTACCCGCTGTACCTCATCAACTAGGAGATTATCCAAGTGTCATCCAAGGACAGCGAGCGTTCTCCCATCCGCTCGGGGAGACGCGCCCGGTAGCAGTATCTCTTCTGCCCCGAGTGTGTGTGTATGTGTGTGTGTAATCCTCTTGTAACTTTTGAACGACTTGATCGATTTCATCGCGGTTGGTGTCATTTGAAAGGGCTTCACTAAACTTAGATTTTCTGAAAATTTGAACCGATTCGGACCGGTAGATTTTGTGAAAATGCAAAAAAAGAAGTGAAAAAAAAGTTGTTTTTTTTTAATTTTTTTTAAATATCTCCGAATTGGCTGAACCGATCGGTCTCAAAATCTAATCAGCTCTTAACCTTGAAAACCCCCATCGATCGCCACCAAAAACGTTAGAATCGGTTGATGCGTTCGTGAGATATCGTTGTCGAAAAAAATCGAAAAAAGTGTTTTTTTGTAATAACTTCGAAATTCATGGCTCGATCGATTTAAACTTGAAAATTTTTCATGGAGCTTCAGAAACTGCGTCGATTGCCGTCAACCGCGTGAAAATCGGTTCATTCATTCAAAAGTTATAGCAGTTTAAAAATTAAAAAAAATCGTGTTTTATCAAATTTTGATAAGACTTTTGAGCTCGAAGAGCTCAGAAGCTTAAAACAGCTACTTTTTTTATAGAGTTCAAAAAACTGCGTCGATTGCCGCCAACATAAGGTAAAAGACCCCATTAGTGGCACCTTTAACCCCTATTAGTGGCACTTTTTCTATTAATAAAAAAATATTCTACTTGGAATAAAAATTAAAAATTTTTTTGATCTAAAGGTCTTAAAGATTAGAAATAACATATTCATTATTGAAATTAATGATTTCATTAATTGAATTAGTACCAAAATCAAAGAAAGTGTCAGTAATAGGGTCCCCGCCACTAATGGCGTCTTTTACCCTATATAACGATAAAGATTTAAACCAATGTTATTTTGAGCCTTACTCAACTACATTAGGTGATATTATGACCGAATTCTAAGTGAATTCCGACATGAGGACCAATGCGTTGGATAGATTTCTACGAAACCTACTTAAAAAGCTGTATAATTACGGTATAATTACCGTTCTCTCCACCACTTGCGAAAAATAATATTTTACTATTAGCGTCTCTATCAGTATCTCTTAGATAACTCATTTATTCATCTGTCAATTTATTTTTCAAGTATGTCTCTTATTCCCATTTTCTCATACTTTATATTTTCTCACTTGTTAGATAGTTTTCATTATTATATAGTTTAAATTATACTCCAGACTTACTGTATAAACTTTAATTATATTAACTCAAATTATAACATATTATAATTTCACTTTGTACTTGACCTTTAATTACTAATTTATACTCTGTATAATTTGTTTTGTGACCCTGTTATTGGCCTTCCAGCTGTTGAGTTTTTTTATAATAAAATAAATAAATAAATTACCTGGAAAACTGATAAGCCATATCTCCTGTTATTAATAAAAATATTTCTCCAAATAATTTGTCCATCTGATGGCCAATTCGCTGGTGGTGGATTTTGCGTTTCAATCGTTCCTTCTTTGGGAGTATCTATAAATTGGATTATTCTTCTCATTACGGTTAATTGACTTAGAATAATGACTATTTGTTGAGTGCCGTATTGAAATAAGCTCATCAGAATTAACGATTGTGATATGGCAAATCCAACGGATTCGTTGAATGTATTTTCTGGAAAATCAAAATTATTCTCACAGTCTGAACTTAAATATCATTTGTTAAAATTTTACCTTGATGCTTTGCAATTAATAAGAAGTAAACACAACTGATAAAAATACAAAAAAGTAATTCAATAGCAAGGTTGTAAGCTGACATTATAGATATAAGAATATAACGTGCTCCGGCATTCATTTCTTGATGTTGATTGAACTTTTCACATAACTTCAACAATACGTTTTCGCTGTAACTTCTGATGGTTGTTAATCCATGCAATGTTTCTCTGACATGCAAATCCAATGGATTCTTAGCTACGGTAAAACAAAATCATTATGTATTTCAATACTGTCGAATTCTTTTGGTATAAATTTTAGTTGATAGTTCATACTATTATTTTCTAACTCTTGTATACTTTGAATCGTTCTACAAAAATATTTTGTCAAATAAAACAAAATTGGCGCCATTAATATGAACGGAAGTAATATCCATCGAAAAACAGTAGCAATATTTATTATCGTTAGAATAATTTGAAAAATTATAACCATCGTTTGTATCACTGCCGGTATGATTGAATTATCCATTATTTGAATATCTTTTATTAATTTACTCGCAGTTTTTTCTGTAAAATTGATAAATAAGCGTTATTGTTATTAAAAATGGTCAAGTAGATCATGTACACTGAAAAAAAATTGACTTGATTCAAGATAAAAATTTTTAAACCAAGAAAATCAATTTAAAGAAATTTGTCGTCTTGGCTAAGAAGAAAAATCCTTGAAATGAGATTTTTTTCTTGAGTAAAGTAAATTTTATTTGCTTAAGGGGGTATTCTAGTCTAGAAGCATGAATTTCAGGTAATTTTTTGAAGTGCCGTAAAAAAAAGGCAATCAATATTTTTACTATCTATTTTTTTATGTTATTTATTAACATTACAAGAATACAGAAAAAAAATAAAAAAAGTTGAAAATTCAAAAAATTAGCAGCTGATGAAGT